CTATGAATTCTCTGCATTATATTCTCACCACACATTGCTCTCAGACATGACATCTCCACTGCCTCCAGCCTTCTCCTAGTTGCAACATTCATCACCCATGCTTCAAACTCATATAAGAGCGTTGGTATACCTGTACTCTCACACATTCCTTTCTTTGTTTCCACGGACAAAAGTTCTTTGTTTACACATATTCCTAAGTGCATCACTCACCCTTTTCCTCTCATCAGTTCTATGATTCACGACATCCTTCATAGACCCATCTGCAGACATGTCCACTCCTAAATATTTGAATACATTCACCTCCTCCATACTCTCTCCCTCTACTCTGATATCCAGTCTTTCGTTATCATTTTTTTTGTTATTCTCATCACCTTAATCTTTCCTGCATTCACTGTTAATTTTCTTCCTTTACATACCCTACCAATCTCATCCACCAACCTCTGCAACTTCTCTTCAGAATCTCCCAAAAGCACAGTGTCATTATCAAAGAGCAACTGTGACAACCTCTCACTTTGTGTTAGATTCCTTATCTTTTAAACCCATATCTCTTGCTAACACCCGAGCATTCACTTCTTTTACAACCCCACCTATAAATATATTGAACAACAATAACCATGGTGACGTCACACATCTTTGTCTAAGGCCTACTTTTGCTGGGAAATAATCTCCCTGTCTCTTATTTACTCTAACCTGAGCCTCTCTATCCTCGTAAAAAATCTTCACAGCTTTCCCTAACCTACCTTCTATTCCATACATTTACAACATCTGCCACATCGCCTTTTCCAAATCCATAAATTCCACGAAATTATCTTTACTCTTATCTAAATACTGTTCATCCATATGTTTCACTGTAAACACCTGGTCTACACACCCCCTACCTTTCCTAAAGCTTCCTTGTTCATCTGCTTTTCTACTCTCCGTCTTACTCTTAATTCTTTCAGTAATAACTCTACCATACTCTTTACCAGGTATACTCAACAGACTTATTCCCCTATAATTTTTGCACTCTCTTATGTACCCTTTACCTTTATACAATGGAACTATTCATGCTCTTCCAATCCCTAGGTACCTTACCCTCTTCCATATATTTATTGAATAAAAGACCAACCACCACAAAACTATATCCCCACCTCCTTTTATCATTTCTATCTTTATTCAATCTATCCCAGCTGCCTCACGAACTTTCCCCACACTCACAACTGGCTCTTCCTCATGCCTACAAGATGTTATTCCTCCTTGCCCTATGCACGAAATCACAGCTTCCCTATCTTCCTCAACATTTAACAATTCCTCAAAATATTCTCTCCATCTTCCCGATACCTCTAACTTTCCACTTAATAACTTTCCTGTCAAATCCATTCGTTCCCTAAGCTTCCTCAACTTATTAATCTCATTCCAATTTTTTTTCTTTTTTTTCAATAATATTTGTTGATAACATCTCACCCACTCTCTCATTTGCTCTCTTTTTTCATTGCTTCACCACTTTCTCAACCTCTCCTTTTATCTCCATATACTCCTCCCTCCTTGCATCACTTCTACTTCGTAAAAACCTCTCATATGCTAATTTTTTCTCTTTTACTACTCTCTTTACATCATCATTCCACTAATAGCTCTTCTTCCCTTCCGCACCCACTTTCCTGTAACCACAAACTTCTACTGAACACTGTAACACTAAATTTTTAAACCTACCCCATACATCTACGACCCCCATTGCCTATACTCTCACTGGCCCATGTATTCTCCAATAGTTGCTTATATCTTACCCCATCTACCTTCTCCTTTAATTTATAAACCTTCACCTCTCTGTTACATGCTACTTCTATTTTTCTTGTATCTCATCTACCTTTTACTGTCACTGTAGCTACAACAAAAGTGATCTGATATATCTCTGGTCTGAAACACTGGTCCAGTGGTTTAGAGCGACGTGAATTTTCGCTCGCCATGAGGAGGGCTAAAACAACAAGGGTTCGATCCTCCTACTGGCCGCAGTGGTGTTATTGATTAAATACCACTTGTTAGTGGTCACAATAACAAAAACAACTGTGAGAGTTGAATGATAGCTCTAGGCCTTTCGTGTTGTAATCATCACATCATCAGGAGCTTGCAGTTTTCAAAAAATTGCTAAAAGTTCAAGAAAATACATTCAGAGGTAGAAAGGCAGGAGACGGTAAGTGCCCCTCAGGCATACCAATACTCAATGCCAGAAATATTGAATATCAAAGCATTATAAGACAGCCAGCCCACAAGTGCTGATATTGTAGTAGTAACATAAGGAGTGTAACATTAGTGACATGACGATTATCAAAAATTCGGTCAGACTTCGATATGATATAAAAGATTTCACATTCTAAATAAAGATATATCTATATTTAGGAATTTTCTATACATCTAGATAGCAGGTCCACAGCCAACTCATTTAAAGGGACTCATTTCGAAGGAGACATCTGTAGTTTATCCAGATGAAGATGGCCATAGTTTATCTATCCCACAAGATTTTTAGTCAAACGCAGGTCTAACCATCAAGAACAAGCAGAAAAACAGGTCCTGATTCCTTGATGTGGAACTACAACACTTTAGACAATCCACAGCATTCATATAGTAATTATGGACATTTTATGAACATTTTATTAGAAGACAGGGAAATGTACGTGTCCCTTGATAAGAACTCATTTGACCAGGTTAACAGAAAGTTTAATACACTGATTAGAACCTTGCTGAGAGATAATGAGTAATTAATTAAATCGTTATCAGCTATGTAAGCGACACTCCCTTGTACGTACAGTTTGATTGAAACCCACAAACCTGGTTTTCCAGCGAGGCCTATTATTAGGTCTGTAGTATCGGCTACATATTCCCTGTCAAAATGGTTGCTAAAAATATTAACTCAATTTCTTGGCAACATTTCTGAAGCCCACTTAAAAAACAACATTGATCTCACTAACAAATTGCAAAATGTTAACACATCTAATGATTTCATATTAGCAAGTTTTGATATCGCGAAGCTATTCACCCTACTTCTTGTTCCCTACTTATTATCTTATTTGGAAGCAGAATTAGATGAGTTTCCCATGCCTATCGATAAGAATACCATTACTGAAAATATTAAGATGTGTGTAGTTGATTGCAAGTTTGAGTTTGAAGGGAAATACTATGCTCAAAGGTAAGGAATGGCTATGGGAAATCCATTGCCTCCCCTATTGAGCAATCTGTATACGGAATTTCTCGAAACTAAGTTGTTGGAAGATGTCCTGCCCTGCAAGGCTAAATGGCTCTGATATGTGGATGGCATCTTGTTTCTTTGGCAAATGATTGGGTCCTGAATTCATTTTTACTGAAACTTAACGCTTTGGTCCCGTCTATTAAATTCTCCATAGAGAAAGAACTAGAATCTAAACTTCCAGTCTCAGAAGTGTTGATACACCTGGTTGATAGAAAGTTTTAAGTTTACAGTATATAGGAAGGCTACTAATGTGAACTCATACATTCACTATACCAACCGTGAGACAAGACTAAAAAAGGGGTGTTTTTCTCACTATGTTTCTGAGAGTTTACCGAGTGTGCAGTCCATAGTTTCTCGATGAAGAAATTTGGAAAATATTTGACATTGCTACAAAACTGCTCTACCCTAAGGAGTTCATGGAATCAGCGTTCCTTGCTGCTAGGAAAACATATCATAGAGATGAGCCTGGATATTGCGACCCCTGAATGGGTCACAATGTATATAATGTATATTATCTGTTCTTATAATTTTATATTGCTTATAATTGCGATATTAGCTAAATCGTAAATATATATTGCTTTATATTAATATTTGACTTAGTTATATTATTAGGTAGGATGTAACATTTATATATTATTCAGTCCTCATAGTTCAAGAGTGTTAAGTAGCTGGCAGCATTGTCTAACTACTGTAATTATCGCTCCGCTCGTTTCGCTGCCGGCTTCTCTGTGTTGCTGGGCAGCAGCAGTCCACGGAGAGTCGTGTGATCAGGGTGGGGTGATCACACCTCACCTGGAGGAGAGACTGCCTGGCCTACGTTCGCTCTCTTGTCTGTTTGACGTTGCTTCCAACAAGACGTGCCTCTCCGGCTCTCCCTTGATGGCCCTTGTTGGAAGATCGTCTCTGTCGCTTCTTGTTGTTGGTTCTGTGTAACTATGTTTGCAGAACATAGCCTAGACTTAGTGATTTTCGACGTTGTACTGAGGTTGTGTGTCTCATAGACACTCTGAGAAACTCAGGTCCTGAGCTGTAGCTTCTGACCTAATTTGTACTGGTATCTGTGTACTGTCACAGTCGGGGATTTTCTAATGCTGAACTTAGATTCAGTAGTATGGGAGTTTTGTGACTTTTGTGGAGGATCTGCAGATGGTCCCTACTTAGTGTCGTTATATTATCTCCTTGTTCCTGATTCTGTGTCGCTGTTGCTTGTTATATTGCTGTTCGGCTTATCAGTTGTTTTATTGTTCAAGCAAGCTGTTCTGATTGCCAGATTGGTCAAGAAGTTAGTTTGTGAGGACTTTTAGTCAGTCACTGGTTAAGTCTAGTCGAGTCTTGAGACAGCGAACTACTTAGAGCACTTACACACGTACATACAGACTTACTTGTATATATTAGTATTAAGTTATTAAATGCTAACAGCGTACCAGACTGTACTTAAAAGCCATAAAGACGTGATATGTACCTTCAGCACAATACTACTGTACACGAGAGAAGTGTAGGAACTTGTATCCTACATTATATTAAATTGATTACTTTAATTTACTTTGATGTTATACGCCTAGACAACTTTATTGTTATTAATAAACTTATTAAAATTTAATTTCTTTAGTTAGTAGCCTACCAGTTGTAATCCTGAAGCACTATTGAATCTTACTAAATTCTAATGGATAATTGGACCAGGATACTGACTACTTGTTACAGAAACCCAGTAACAAACTGGATGCTAGAAGAGCAGTCCTTTCTAGTATTCACTGGAGATCTCTATGCTTATTAGATATTGGGTTTTTTGTAACACTGGATAAGACCTCAGATCAAGAATGTACAAGTTCTCCCATACAATGAGAATTTATCTCTCCTTCCAAATGCCCTTAAAAAAATTAATAAAAGCATTTTGATAGTGTTCTCAACATTATGTTGGTGGTATTTACAGAATTGCTTGCAACGGTTGCGACTTATCTTATGCGCGACAGATCAGCCAACCTCTAGTTGTTAGGATATCAAGACACAAATATTCAATACGAACTGCCCAGGAATGAAATGCGATTTTCAGCCAGACACTGTAAAAACTCAGCAAATTGGTTGGAACCGAGAGTCATTGTTTCGTGTTCCACCTGGCTTGAACAGAATGCTGCAGAATCGGTAATTATAAAATACAAACGTTCTTTACATAATAATAGTGGCAGCTTATTCAAATTAGATTAGTTTAAAGCTGAGGCTATCGTGCATAGCCTAGAACCAGACTCCTATACAAATGATTTAGATTGCCTTTAAATGTTGTAGTTCCACACCAAGGAATTAGGGCCTGTTTTCTTGCTTGTTCTTGATTATTTGACCTGCGTCTGCCTAAGAATCTTCTGAGGTAGATAAACTATGGCCATCTTCCTTTGGATAAACTACAGATGTCTCCTTTTAAATGAATCAGCTGTGGACCCGTTTTCTTGACGTATAGAAAATTAATGAGACAATTACCAGATACATGTATATCTATATTTAGATTGTAAGTCTTTTATATCATATCGAGGTCTGACCAAATTATTGATAATTGTCATGTCACTACTGTTACGCTCGTTAGGTTACTACTACAGTATTATTGCTTATGGGCAGTCTGTCTTCTAATGCCCTAATACTCAATCTTTCTGGCACTGGGTATCGGTATGCCTGGGGCATTTACCGCCTCCTGACTCTACGTCATTCAAGCAAGGATGTTTCCTCTGAACGTGTTTGCTTAGACTTCTATTTTCTGCAACATTACGAGCTCATGAAGATGTGTTGATTGCAACACGAAAGGCCTAGAGTTATGATACTTACGTACATAGCCAAACTTTGCTAACCATTTCAGGGAACGCTGCCCTCCTCGGGGCACACACATTTTTCTATACAGAGAGCATTGTTGATGATTGCAAAGCGGGTGATCAGTGTACATTAGTTGTGTTTGTGTTGATGAGGGGATAATTACCTCACGTATCCATCAGTCGTCGACGTCATTTGCATCTAATAAATCACCTCTGGATTACTTGCTTAATGAGAGGACAGGAAACAGAGAGAGAAACAGAGAGAGAGAGTGAGAAAGGTAGCGTGGGATAGCACCATTTACTCACCTCCCGGAGGCAGTAGAGTTGGACAATCTTGGAATATTATTTTTACTGGAGACGACTCTGTCACGCTATCCTACCTCCTCTCCTCCTCGTCCCTCTGTTCCTTCTCTTATCGATGTAATCCCTTTCCTTCTCTGTTTTGTTATTCATAATATGATAATAGTTACCAAAGTCATTTCTTGGCACAATTTTTGTTTGCCATTTTCTTCTTTGCTACTTTTCTGACGTGAATTTTTGCCCAGGTAACACAAAGTACATTTTTTTTTTTTTTTTTTCAACAAGTCGGCCGTCTCCCACCGAGGCAGACAAAGTACATTTCTGCTTATTAATTTTAAGCACTGCAAATTGAGGAAACATGTTCTGGTCTTAAAACAATTTGAAAGCTTGAATTCTGACTGAAGGTAAGAGACATGTGAAATCTGATTAGACTAGACTTATATGTTCTGGATATGCATTGCTGATTTTGCGTAAGTGAGATATTGATAAGCTTTAAATAAATAAATAGAAAGAGAGAAAGATGCTTAAATTTTTGTAGAATTGTACAAAGATGATCGTGAGCTTGTTTGTAAGCTCTATTTATGAAGCTTCGCTTGCAGTGGTCTTGATAACCAGATCTGGTGTGGTTTTGATGACCAGGTCTGGTGGGGTCTTGATGACCAGGTCTGGTGTGGTCTTGATGACCAGGTCTGGTGGGGTCTTGATGACCAGGTCTGGTGTGGTCTTGATGATCAGGTCTAGCGTGGTCTTGATGACTAGATCCGGCGTGGTCTTGATGAAAAGGTCTGGCGTGGTCTTGATGGCCAGGTCTGGCGTGGTCTTGATGACCAAATCTGGTGTGGTCTTGATGACCAAGTCTGGTGTGGTCTTGATGATCAGGTCTAGCGTGGTCTTGATGACTAGATCTGGCGTGGTCTTGATGAAAAGGTCTGGCGTGGTCTTGATGGCCAGGTCTGGCGTGGTCTTGATGACCAAATCTGGTGTGGTCTTGATGACCAAGTCTGGTGTGGTCTTGATGATCAGGTCTAGCGTGGTCTTGATGACTAGATCTGGCGTGGTCTTGATGAAAAGGTCTGGCGTGGTTTTGATGGCCAGGTCTGGCGTGGTCTTGATGACCAGGTCTGGTGTGGTCTTGATGACCAGGCATGGCATGGTTTTGATGACCATATCTGGTGTGGTCTTGATGAC